GAAGTCCCAGATGGCTTTTGCGCTGCACATATCCACCACCATCAGCTATCTTTACTCTCCCACACAGACCGAGTTTAAAAGGAAAAGAGAAAGAGGATATCTTACGCTTCCGGATAAATCTCATCCAAAAACCCACCCCCATTACTCTTCTCAAACACACCCGTAAATCCCCACGGCTGGTCCTCAAAGGGCTGCACATCTTGGATCTCGACCAGGAGGACATCGCCGGGCTCTGCGGTCTCGATTTCAAATGGGCCGGAGAGGTAGTGGATCTGAGTGAGATCGACGTTCTTGATGTCGTCGGCGGAGTCGTTGTTTTCGATTTGCCCGCCGGTCCAGTCGAGACATTCGATTTTGACTACTTCATTGTTGGCGATTTTGGCGTAGGAGGGGACTGCCGATTTCCATTATATATTAGAGGGGTGAGTGGTATAGAGGGGGGGTGGAATAGTACCGTCTGGGTGCCATCTGTTCTATAGAGGAGAATGAAGGTTAGTGCTACTACTTTGCTTCTACACTGTTTATGAACTTACGTGGAGGCCAGGCTGCTCCCAAGCTGGCTTGTTCAGATCGACTGAGAGAGCTGTGCGGATCTTCTTGTGGCCCATGGTGAATTCGTGCTGATAATGATGATGATTGTGATACTAATTGATAGATGGATGAATTAGGTGGGAAGAGGTAAGAGGGGACAAACTTCCCCTCAACGTGGGAACCACTCATTAATACTACCAGATAAACCAAACTAAAGCGATGCAACCAACCCCTCAATTCATGGCACCCGAAACTTCCCCTCACGAACTGGTCCAACTTTGTTTATCACCAGACCGAATAGAAATTACGGAAATCCCCCCATGCTCCGGTTATCTTATCAGGGCTGACGCGCTTATCAGCGGGGAAAAGGATATGCTTTGATTCCACGGCTGTCTTTTGAGTCTATGATAACGATAATAATCCCGAACCTTAAAAAATAAGGTGCGTGCAATGCATGCATGCACTATGCAGAAAACCTAAGTGTACAGTCTCGGTTTCCATAACCAACTTTTGTACGTTGAATTCCACTCCTCCGAACGACTCATCCCTTGGCTGCTCGCTTACTCGAATTTCCGACCCGGCAACTCGGGCGCCTTGGGCTTTTCCTCCTCTGGAGCCTTGTTCAGCTGGTCGATATTGTCCAGCGACAGGCGCAGGAACTCGTGCTTGTTCTTCCAGGTCACCTGGGTCTCTGCGAAGCCCTCCTTCTCGGACGGGGCCGGCGGGGGGTCTGTGACCTTGGTGACGAGGTATGCCGTGGCGGCTTGCGCAACGCCGTACAGGAGGACTCCGATGAAGGGAGTCTTCAGCACAATTGTAAAGGCAAAGGCGAAACCAAACAGGACGCCCTGGCGGTCGGCAAACCAGCGGTTTCTCTGCTCGGGGGTGAAGGGAACGCGGCTAAAGTAGGGGTCGAGCTGGTTGTCCATTAGGATGGTTTTATCGATAATGTGGCTGAGGACTTACCATCTCGCGCATCAGGGTACGGGAGGCGTAGAAGCTGTGCAGGAAGGAAACAACGTAGCTCTTCGGGAAGATAAAACCGGCTCCGAAGATGACAGCCGCAGGGGTAGTGCCCACAGCATCCTTGAAGGCGAAGAAGGAAGCTGCTGGAGTGGCAAAGCGTCCGACAACAGGCACAAGCGACAAGATGGACACGCCCAGGAGCAGGGCGGCTCTCTGGCCGGACCTCCTAAGGAACACCATGATTCTTTCCTTGGCCGACTTCTTCGGCGCAGTGGACTTGACCTTGCCTTCACCGGCGTTGTACATGGAGAGGTTCGGGTAGTACATGGCACGCAGAGTGCTCGGGTCCTCTGCCTTGTGCTTATCGACATAGGTCGTGTCCACCCATTTCAACGATTCCATGAAGCTAATCAATCAGCACGTGCTCACTGCGTGTAGGGATAGTTGGCTTACATTTCATCCAATGTCGGAGTGATGTACCGCATCAACGACATGATGAGGAAGGGGACATGAAGGACAGACTTGGAGAGGAAGTCGAGACCCTCAATGAGGGAATCGTCCCAAGTGACACTCTCGAGGTCGACAATCCATGAGATGAACCAAAGTCCTATCTTTAGTGCAATGATCTATAGCCGCTTTGTCAGTCTCGAAGCTGTCAAGCGGGTAGCTAGAAGATAGTCACATACGGGAATCTGGATGAGGAGCTCGACACCCACACCGACAGCGACAGCAAAGGCAGCCTGCCGGAAGTGGTCGTATTTGAAGAGATCGGGGTTCCGCAATGCGCGGACGGCTGTCCAGCTAAGTTAGCAGCGGGTAAAGTAGTACTCGTGCCGTGTTTCCCCCATGAACCATGCGGGTAGCTAGCCAGCCATGGCTGTCGATCATGGAACTAGGGAACTCGGCCGTGCTGAGCCATTGACATTCAGCACCACGCAGACCCCTATAATCCCACATCTGCCGCTCCCCCTTTTACGCAAGGCGAAAGAAGTCGCGCAGCCATTGGCTACTGGGAGTCCAAGAACTCGAGCAGGCAAAAGGGGCCGGACTTACTGGCAACCACCGTCAGCTGAGCACCACGAATCACGGCGTTATGATCGAAGTTTCCCATGATGCACACCCAAGAGTCTCTCGAGTACTTTTGAAGATCAGGGACCGTTTAGCAGAAAGGGAGCATCGTACTATTTATAGTTGTGCGTTGGCTGCCGAGGGGGAAACAGCCACAGGCAACCACATAATGCAAAGGAATGACGCGCGGGTACGATAGCGATCAATTCCGACTGGCTGAGTAACCGCCAGACGCTAGGCCATCAGCCGCCGGCCCCACTCTGCGGCGTAGGGCAGGTGACCGGTGCATGAATGCCTCAGGCCACGATCAGTCCCCGCTGGGTTAGACCCGATTGGGGCAATTGCATACTTTTGCCATGAATTTATTGAGTTCGAACCAAGTTGGGAAGGGTCACTCGCTGGGAATTCCCCCGTCCATTATCTCACCACCCCAGCTTCTCGTCTCTCGTTTGACCTCATTCCACACCCCCCCCTGCTGATCGTCTTTCCTTATCCCTTCCTATTCGCATTCATTTGCTATCTTTTCCATCTATATCCTACCTAATCCTGTCCCTTATACAGTTTTCAATGTAATCCATCTCCTTTCTCACCTTCCTTAATCCCCATGATCGAGAATGTCTGATACCTCGGATGCGCCACTACCCCAGACCCAATCCCTTCGCCGGTCTGCGACTCTTCCTTCCAAACTGATTACCCGACCCCGGCGGCAATCCGAGTCGCTGAGGCCCTCGGAGAACGATCTCTTCTACCACCCTTCTGCCAAAGTCGTCCATTTTGCCCCTAGAGCGCTCGCCCCAATCCCCTCCAGTACTGCGCCCTCCGACTTCGACTATCCCGTTGATACCGTTGAGACTCTTCCTTGGAGGTCCCCTACTGAACGAACGGTCGCTCTCGGCCCGCTTCGCCTGGAGAATGTCCATGGCCTTACTGTCTTCCTCAAGTGCGGCAATGTCGTTCATGCCATCCTTAAGAACTCGCAATGTTGGTGTGTCGACGGCGAATCAACCTTTGTCTTGCGCATTCGCCCTCTGACGTACTATCGCATCGAACTCCCCGCCGACACCGACGACAACAAGGTCTTAGTCACGGAGATGAAAAATGTTCTGCCCAGGGTCCTCCGTTACGAAGTGACACCATGCCCCTTCAAGAGAGGTTTCACTGTTGAGATACCAGAGGAGGCTAAAGCGCCCAGGAGGAAGAGGGCATGGCGACCCAAAGGTCGTCGCGAAAGTGCCCCAATCAGTTCAGTCTACTACCACGGACTGTCCAAGTCGAAGGAGGACCTCACAAAAGACCCAGTCAGTGCCGGGGAAGACACGGATGGCGAGGCGACGGATGACAGCGGCTTTTCGACCAAGGCCAGTAACAGTGCCAGTAACAGTACTATCTTGGAGACTATTCCGGATGACAATGAGACTCCGGAAGCACCTCAGACATTCGAACAGGTGGATTCACCCAAGCGCCCAGACCCAGAACCCGAACAGAATTTCCAGACCTTGCTGGCAAGGTTTGAAGACAAATCCGAACAACAGGTTGATCCTGAAACAACGTTTTCATCGAGCGTTGAATCCTTCCACTCCCTTGGACCATCGTTATCTACATTACCCGAACTTGACGCCTGCTCTACGCCTACATCGACCGAGGGTACTGAGCAATTCCAATCTGACCACAGTGACACTCATTCGCCGCCTGAAGAACAGCCCTTCCAAGAAATAGAGCGCTCGAGAGACAGACTATCAGTGTATGTCGACTGCTGGGATGACTTGTCGTCCGCATCGCACGATATGCCTGGAGCCTTCCACGAGCGCGAAGTGAAGCCGACTCCGACCATAGTCCCTGACATTCAACGTCCAGTCGCATCCCGCACCGGAACGACCGACTCGAACCCCAACCTCAGCAGCATGAGCATCGAATTCCGCCGACGCTCCAAAGCATCCCGTGAGCGCGAAGTGTCTCCTATGCCGCCTGCATCGTCTTTGGCAGTTGCAAGACCTGAGAAACACGATGCGGCGTCGCTTATTCATAAAACCGCCACACTGGTCCTGGTTCCCCCGATCCAGCTACTTGTGGTTCTCATCCACATTGCCGCGCGCATTGTCATCGGCCCAGCCTTGGAATCCGCGATGGGGGAACTGAACCGGAAGATCGAGTACGAGGTTGATCATGCCCAGGACACTGTGGATGACTTCGACTTGCCTCTTCCTGACCGATCTGGGGTGTCTGCGGATGAGAACTCCAACTGATTTGCATCAAACCATTTGTCTGGCCATCTACATTCGTTCTTCACTTTTTGTATACTCCTGTATTCTGCATCTGATGACACCTGCGATTCCCTCTGATGTCTTTTCTTTCCCCACGATGACGCATTTGTATGATCTCATTGTTTCTGTTTTATTAGTCGGCATCTGTACGGTTGTGGGCGGACTGTATTTGATTCACCCCGGACAAGCACCATAATTTGATCCCCTGTATTCTAGCGAAGTAGTTAATCTATTGACACTATAGCATCAGCTGAAAACTAATCCCATTCAACATATCTACAACATATACATCGAAGCATAATCCCTTAAATCAAATAGAAATGAAATAGAATAATCCCACAAACGCCCATAATGCATCCATCCATCAACCACCCCCCATGCCCCCCAAACTAGAAAATTCAATAAAATCACCCCTTCACAACCTTTCCCCCCTCCTTCTTCCCTTTCGCCTTCCCCTTCTTCCGATCCCTCTTCTTCAACCCCGTCATCCCAGCCTTACACACCTCCGCATACCTCGCATAGAACGCCTCCAAATCATCCGGGCTCACCACCGTCGAGATCTTCACTTTCGATGCTGCCGATCCCGTCTTCGATACCTTCTTCTTGGCCTCGGCCGTCTTGAGGTTCGGGGCGTTGGTGTTGCCGTCTGTCGCGCGGATGAGGATGGATGGTTGCGACGCAGACTCGGTGGTGGTGTTGTTGGTGTTGAGGAGGGGCTTCTGCGTGAGATACACGGATCCGCGAGTTTTCTGGGATGTGGTGTTTAGGAGGTTGGTGAGGGAGGTGAAGAACTATTCCATTTGGAAGTGGGTGTTAGTTGAGTGATATGTTGGGTGTAGTGGTGGTTGTGGGGGAGAGGGAAGTACCTCCTCGTGGCCCAAGTGTGCGGGCATTGTGTTGTATTGATTCGATAGGTGTGGTCGGGGTATGTGGAAGGAGATGTGACCGTAGTGCTGAAGTTAAGATTGGCAGCTCAATTGGCAGTAAAACGCAAACCAACTATAACTACTCAGCGATAGTAACAGCTAAAGACCAGCCAGCGGAGATAAACGCATCCACCCCCCAAAGTCAGTTTAGGTTGGCTCTCACCGCCTCCGTCCTCCGCCTCCGCGGGACCAATTTTGAATCGGCATTAAAAAAAGTTCAGATTCAACCCTCAATCAACATCAACACTTTCATTAATCTGGAGACACACCATGCGACGTCCTAGACATAATACGACCTCCTTACCGAGGGACCTGCGCGCAGAGCTCGGAATCAGAGATACCTACGGCGAGAAGAAGAATAAGCGCAACGGTCCGGCATTGCGGAAAGAGCGCCGTCGAGAAGAACGCTCCGGGAAGAAGCAGCCTCAGCAGCAGCAGCGACAGCAGCACCACCAGCGGGGACCGCCTCCGAAGAAGAGGGGTCGGTATGATGATGACGAGGATGAGGATGAGGATATGGGGGACTTTGATGAGTTTGATTTAGATGAGGGGGATGATGATGAGGATGCCGGTGATGTTATGGCGAAACTTGCTAAGGCGAAAGCGGCGAAGGGGAAGGCTGCCGCTCCTACTTCTGCTAAGGAGGAGAAGAAGCCCAAGTCTATTTTGAAGAAGGCAAAGGTTGAGGAGAGCTCTGAGGAGGAGGACAATATTGATCTTGATGAGAATGAGGATGAGGACGAGGTGACAATGCGACGCCCCGTATCGAAGACGGTTCAATCGAAGCTCGAAGAAGATGATGCGGAAATTGCTGCGCTGGAGAAGAAGCTTGGTCTGAAGAAGGGCAAGAAGCTCCCCAAATCTTTCGAAGAGGATGGTCTGGGTGATCTGCTGGGCGATTTGGATGAGGACTCGGCGGATGAGGGTCGGAAGCGCAAGAGGGAGGCTGATGAGTGGCTACGGAGTAAGCGGAGAAAGGCACAGGGCTTGGAGGAGCCTGAGGAGGAGGATTCTGAGGAGGAAGATGATAGTGATATGGGAGATGGACTTGAGGGCTTTGATGACGATGATTCTGTGGGTGATTTCGATGAAGATGAGGAAGAAGGAGAGGAAGAGGAGCCGGCTCCTAAGAAGAAGGAAAATCCCTACGTCGCCCCAGTCAGAGAAGCTGAAAGCCGTCCCCAGAAGTACATTCCTCCCTCGCTTCGCGCTGCCTCCAACTCCGAGGATGAGTCTCTTGTTCGCCTGCGGAGACAGGCCCAGGGTCACCTGAACAAGCTGTCTGAAGCCAATATGGTCTCTATCCTCGCGGAGTTCGAGAAGCTCTACCGGGATCATCCTCGTCAGAACGTCACTTCGACCTTGATCTCTCTGCTTTTCGGTTTGATCTGCGAGAGATCTGCCTTATCGGATACTTTCATCATTCTACATGCGGGGTTCATTGCTGCAGTGTACAAGATTGTGGGTACGGACTTTGGCGCAGAAATTGTGCAGAAGATCGTCGAGACCTTCGATGCCCGCGGCGATGAACGAGGAAAGTTCGAAGGAAAGGAGACCATCAACCTGATCTCTCTCCTGTCGCAACTATACAACTTCCATGTCATTGGAAGTCCCCTTGTCTTCGACTACATTCGGCTCTTCCTGGAAGAAATCAACGAGGAGAACACCGAATTGCTCCTCAAGATCATCCGGAGTACGTTATGCCCGTCCCTCCCTTCTCAACCTCATACTAACCACACCAGACTCCGGACCCCAACTCCGACAAGATGACCCCTCCTCCCTCAAAGACATCGTCCTTCTCATCCAGCCCGCCGTCGCCAAAGCCGGCGAAGCCGCCCTCTCCGTCCGTACGAAGTTCATGATCGACACCATCACCGACCTCAAAAACAACAAGCTCAAGTCCAACGTGAATGCCAGCATCAGCACCGAACACATCACCAAGATGCGCAAGATTCTCGGCTCTCTCAACAACACCCGAGTCGTTCGGGCCTCCGAACCCATCAGCATCTCCCGCGCCGATATCCACAACTCCGAGAAGAAGGGCAAATGGTGGCTCGTCGGCGCCAGCTGGCGCGAAGATCCCCTCGAATCTGCCCGGAAGGAACTCAACGGCCTTCCTGCGAACAACACCCACGCCGACGTCTCAGACAGCGACTCCGAGCCCGATCTCGTCAACATCGCCAAAGCGCACCGCATGAACACCGACGTCCGCCGCTCCATCTTCGTCGCCATCATGTCCGCAACGGACTACCAGGACGCACACGTCCGTCTCCTCAAACTCCGTCTCAAGCGCGCCCAGGAATTCGAAATCCCCCGCGTCCTGACCCACTGCGCCATGGAAGAAGAAGCCCACAACCCCTACTACACGCTCATCGCGAAGCGCCTCTGTGGCGAAATGGGCCGTCGCATCAAAGTATCCTTCATGTACACGCTATGGAACATCTTCAAACGCATGGGCGAGTCCGGCGACATGGACGATAGCGATGACGACGACGCATTCGACGACGAAGACGACCAGAACAAACTCGAAATGAAATCCATCGTCAACCTGGCGAAGATGTACGGGTCGCTTATCGCAGACGGGACGTTGAATCTGGGTGTGCTCAAGATTCTGAACTTCGCGTACCTGCAGCCGAAGAGCAAGGCCTTTGTGGAATTGCTTCTGATTAGTGTGATTCAGCAGTCGCAGAAGCAGAAGAAGAAGTCGAAGTCGAAGTCGAAGGATGAGGATGAGCAGGATGAGAAGGCGCTTCTGGAGATTTTCCTGCGCGCGAGAGAAACGCCGCAGATTGTTAAGGGGTTGATTTTCTTCCTGAGGAAGGTGGTTGCGAAGACGGATATTGTGCCGTCTGGGAAGGAGTTGAAGGTTGTTAAGTGGGGATGTAAGGTTGCGGTGGATGCTTTGAAGGTTGTGGTTAAGGAAGGGGATGCGGAGTGATGATGTACATATGTGTTTTGTGCAGTGTGGGTATGGCGTTTTGGTCATGGTGTTGAGGGGGTAAAAGCTTGCATATATAGATTCATTTCTTTTGCATTTCATTCGAGGAATGAATGTTCAGCATAATGTTCAAGTATTGCATTGTTGCGTGTTTGGGTATCAAATAATGTACATGCTCAACCGAATGAATGGTCCTATGAGATTAGTTCCCATTCCATTCCCACGTGCCATTTACCTGCACTTTGCATGTGTGCACGGTCCGATTGCGAGAGACCGTCGAGGTCAAGGCCTAATTCTAAAGCAGGAGCACGCTCTCCTAGACCTATCTCCCACGCGAGTCCCCGCAAGACTCCGACCACATCGCCCGGTCCAAGGTCGGGGATGTGAGTCGCTGCATGCCGGGACTTCTCTTGTCGGGGTGGTCCGAGAAGGAGCACGTTCTTGATCAGAGGTTGGGTCTGAGTATCCGTCTCGTTGTTCTCAGAAGAATCCACGGCGTGGCCCTGTGCGAACGCCAGAGCGCCGCAACTCGACAGAACCGATTGACGAGCACAAGTTATCCGGATGGCTATCGCGTACGTGTCCAGTGAAGGTGGATCCGTTCTGCCGTAATATCTCGGACTCGTTTGTTGCTGTTCTCTTTTCGCGCCCATTTCGAGAATCCAGCTGCGCACCTCTGCCGCCATGCCACCTGGAACATAGTTGTGTGCTGCGGAACGGTGACGGCCGCGCCGCCGGAGAGCACGAGAGGATGGTGAGAACGGCGTGGGGATGCCGGTGGGATCGTCGTCCTCCTGAGGGGAAGGAGAGCGAGGCAGGACGAATGCTGGTGTCCGCCGCTGTGAGCTCGGGACTGGAGTTGCGGTCGAGGGTGGTATTGCGGTGTTGACTTGAGTCTGGCTACTTGGGGGTAGTTGCGACGCGGATAGCACGAAACGACGGGGTTGAAGAGAGGAGGGGTTGATGCTTGCTGGGGTTACAGGATGTGGTGTTTCCGCAGGCCGCACTGGTTTCCGGAATCCCGGATCTGGACGTATTTGCTTTGGTGTTTGGAATTGTACCGATAGAGTTGTCTCGTCAGCTGCTGTTGCTGGAGGATCCGGGGAGGATGACAGGATCCTGTCGGCGGGTCTCCGTCGTTGAACGGAGGGAGTGTTATCAGCTTCATTATGCCCAGAGACGCGACGTCTCTTTTGACGGCCCCTTATAGAACTGAATACTTCATCGAAGGCGGCGTCGAGCTCCCCTGGCTCTGGTGGAGAGCTGCTCTGAAGCTCGCCTTCGTTAGGTGCAGCGTCATCGTCTGGCTGGTCCGAGTCTTCAATGAACTCTTTCGGGCGAGGAGTGGGTACCTGCTCTCTCTCACGTTTTATGTTACGTGCAGACGGAGCAGGGGTGTCATACGCAAAGTCATCCTGGTCAATGGAGTCGATCTCTTGAGATGGCCTCGATGAAGCAGGTGTTTGTGAGAGGAAGAACCGCGGGGTTGACGCGAATTGCGGGCCTGCGCTGCGACGGGAGGAGGCACGAAAGGGCGTCTAGACGGATTTAGCTAGATCTATATGGATATTGACAGGGGATGCGCGTACAGCTACCGGGGGCATTTAGGATAAGCTAGTGGGGAGGAGCAATTGCGCGACAACATATCGAGACGCGTGAGTAGATAAGTTGATGCATCCACCGTGATATCATTTGACTGGTCATTATCATGCCTCTTTGGGAAAGCGGTCACTCGAGTACTGACATAAACTAGTCCCAATATGGTATTGATCTGCTATATGATCTGCTTTGTCTGATTGGCTCTTTGATATCCCTCGCTGTGAGCTCGAGCATCCATCCCAGCATGACCAAGCATTGAGCTTTGTCCAGATAGTAACTATATTGGGCTACGATTTGAACAAGAAAAAAGTATGTTATAGTAATGATATTTATAGTCATTTTGAATTCATACCACTGATGTGTTGTTTTCGACAAATGATATTCATAATCCCCATTACTCCATTAACCACAATAGCCGCCCTGCTCCATCACCCAACAGTATAGATAATTGCATCACTCTTTTTGCTCGACATTGGTATCTGGGGACACTGATTTCCGTCTGCAAGAGCCGTAAGCTTCACTCCATAGTTGTGTGTGTACAGGGGAACACCGACTTATTGAACTCCTCAATCATGCTCGCCATATTCCCCGCACCACTGGATCGTCGGTCTGGATGATCGTTTGCCGAACCCCCAAAGCTCCCTAACAGTGAGTTGATAGCTAACTCCTCATCAGCATATGTTATATTAAATGGGTGACAAGAATAGTATCAACATACCCATTTGATTCCGGTGGCGTTCCTCTTCCGCGAGTTGCTGCTGCAGGGAGCTCCGACGTCGATCGTGCTTGAGGTGGCCGTACTTCTGAACGAGATCCATATTGATATGGTTTTGTAGTAACTCTCTAGTTATAGTTTAGTGATATTTAGGTGAAGAAAGAAGCTAGATTCTGCAGCAATTTGGTGGATAATATCGGGGTTAATAAATGCAGTTGATTCCCCCCCTTTCGACGTCATTACATCATGGGTTCCCCTTGCACCATCATATGATTGCACAAATAATGTGCTCTCCCTCGAGAGAGGGACAAACAGGGACCTATAGATTTGTAAGATAGACCAGCAGATCGCCAAGGGATGCGTCATAGTTAATTGTGTCGCCATCCAGGCATCGTCCTATAATAGTCCCTATGCTGGGATCTGGGCATTGCTTGGCGTGCCAGGCAACTAACTGGCAACTGGCCAGTGCGATTGCCGACGCTGCGCGGATGGCCACCTGCAGGTCTGGTTGAGGTCCATGCTTTTTGTGACAAGTTGGCGATCACTCGGAGTACTATGGTCAAAAGTACTTGGCAGGGGAGGTGTCTTGTGTTTGTAGTATTGTGGTAGTATTAAGCAGCCGTTGTATCCGGGTGGGCATACTTCGCCGGGTCACTCGTATAGTAGTGCATCACACAACTATGTCTCCAAGTCACACCGTTTCCAAGTGATATATACACCAATCAAGCCATCTTACTGTACACCTGAACAGCCACAATCTATTTCATCCCCTCCAGGATCGGGATCAAATCCACCAACGACCGAATCTCCACCCCCTCCTTCCCCCCACCTTCATCTCGGGGAACATAAACTCCCTTCCACCCCGCATCAACAGCAGCACGATAATCCTTGTCATAGTCATCGCCCACATGAACACGCACCCAATCACCACCTTCCTCACTAGCCCCTACCAGCCTCCTCGCCTGCCGCTCAGCCACGTCAAAGATCACCGGACTAGGCTTCTCCTCTCCAGCCTGATAACTCGTGATCACGAGATCAATATCATCAACCTTCTCTCCATACTCACCAGTGGAAATACTAGAAGGATCCTCGAAACCCGGTAATTTCAAACTCTCGATTTCCTGATCCGCTCTTCCCTTCCCTACACTCAGCCCCAATGACTGGAGCACAGCAGGCACCCTATCATCTGAGTTGGAGAGGACTCCCACAACTATCCTCTCAAAGACACCCAGTTTCTGACCGGTGGTTTTGATTTGCCTGAGGCGTTGGAATAATTCGCCCGCGTCGTTGTAGAGCGCGTAGCCTTGCGAGCTTGCGAAGCGATCCAGTAAGCCCTGGATTAGCTCCTCTGGTAATTTGGTAGATTTATCTGCCAAGACCTGTTGGAACGTGGTGCGTATGAGCTCCTCCCACCACTGCCTTGGTCCGCCGTATTGGCCGCGGATGGCATCCGCGCGGCCATAGTTCGGTCGGTGGCGGGATTGCGCTTTGTAAGCGGATTTGAAGGCTGGTTGAAGGATGGATGGTGTGAGCTCAGGAGATTGTTGAAGTTTGAAGGAGTTAAAGGCGGATATGTACTGTTCGGGAATGGGGTGGCGCGGATGAAAGATTGTGTTGAATGCGTCCATGGTTAGGAGGAGGGTGCGGGGGCGCATAGTTGGTTCCTGGATAAGTCGGGGTTTTGTTTGGGTTGTGATGTTCGTGGTGTTTATTGATTTGTTTGACTGTGAATTATGCAAAATGCGACAATATAATGTGTATATGATCGATGTCGATTAGTGTTCGTTTAATTCAATTTGAAGGAACAATGATGAAAGAGAATGTTGGATTGGAGATGATCGGCCTGAGCAGGAAGGAGCTGTATCGGTGTTTGATAACATCCTGTTATCGAGTCAGTCATGTGACTTCTAACTATAAGAGTAGGGGATGTTCATCATCAGAGGGCTGAAAGAGCAGGAGAAAAACGATAAATTCATTTATATTTACTACCATAATTGTTGGAATACTTAGGCTATGAATCTTCCATAAACTAAGCAGTTTGGCAGACAAGATCATACATCCTTCTTGGAGGAATTATACTTTAACCTTCCATCTCCACTTCCAGTCCAGCAGAGCCCATCGAGATAATATCAGACCAACAAGCCCGACCAAGAGCACAGCCGAGTAAAACCCGATAAGAATCTGGGATGTGGTCGATTGCAACAAGTCACCTCCCACGGGAACAGCCAATAAAACCCCGAACGAAGCCACGGAGTATAGGGTACCGTAAAACCGACCATACTCTTCGGTCCTGCAGAGCTGGCCAGCACATACAGGAGCAAGGGAGATCCACCCCCCAGATCCGAATCCAAAGATAGCCACCACAGTGTATAGAGTCCTCACATCGTGAGAGCCAACAGGCAGCCAGACCGTTGCCATTATGATAAACGTGAGTAGGACTAGGCAGAGCAGGATGTTGAAACGGCCGATCTTGTCGGCCGCAAATCCGGGAAGGACTCTTCCTACTAAGCCAAAGCAGTTCAGGACTGTGAGCGAGTAAAATTGCACGTCTGTTGGAAAGCCAGCAAAGCGGACGTATGTCGGCAATAGTGCCGCGCAGCCGAAGATGATGAATTCCAAGGAGAAGACTGCCACAGTCAAAAAACAAAGTCGAGGGGACCCAAAGGCCCGGAAGTCGATTGTTGCTTTGCTGTTGCTGGCAGCTGGTAGGCGGCCTTTGACTAGAATAATTGCTGCTGCGTAGCATCCCAAAGCTATAAAGGCGATAACGCGGATAGACCACGTCCAACCGTAATTTGAGAACAGGGTCCGTAGGATTACTGGGATGGTAGCACCTCCAGCCGATGACCCGCCCATACAAATGCCTGATTAATCAATGCGCATGCCATCCCACTTACTCTTTGCTATCAGTACCAGACTCCTCCGCTGTGGATTTCTCGTCCACTCCTTGTCCTCTCCCCATTTCCTTGCCCGCTCGACTTTCGAATAGCTGGTAAGAGCCATCTTCGTGGACATGCCCACTAAGCAGCCGTATGCCATTTTTACTGTAAAAACCAACGGTAATGACCTTCTTGTCGTCTGTCGGAACTTTGGAGGAATTGTGTGCTTTAGCACCCCTACACCAGTTCTTATCAATTCCGGACCGTCAAGTAAGATGGTAAATAGCGCCTACTGAATGAAGTATCCGGTGACCGTGTCGTATTGCGTTTCATGAATCAGCATCGCCGAACGGTTGGATAGCAGGTGCATAAGTTCAGTGGATCTGTACCTTTGACTCCACATCATCTGTGACTTTCCGCACGGAGGAAACCCAGTTATCTCCAGAAGATCCGTTGATTCTGCGAACATCGTCCTTGGTCACTTTTCCGATCAGATTGAGAACATTCCGCCTCGCAGAGGACGAGATAGCTCGGATCATGTTCAGAGACATTGCGCATAGTATTGTGTCCTTGGCTGAGAAATTGGCAGTGAGTGATATGGCACGCAATTTTCGCTTACTTGCTTAGCAGGAACTCGAACAAAGTACTGTCAAAAGAAGAGCACTAAAATGCATGACTTGAAGTGTGATGATGCACGGCTTAAGAAGGAAAGACCTCTCCCTCCTAGTCCCTCAACACGGAAGGTACTTTTCGCTTGCCTCCTTCACAGCACCGGAGTTACTACCCTAATAGCATGAAGGGTTATTCGGATGACAACAACCGGAAAGAAGCACCTCCATACAAATAGGAGATGAACCAAGCTAATTCCCCTGCGCTAAGAGAAATCTACCAACAACTAAAGCCCGGGTACGTATGTCAGTTCTACCCAACAATATACAAAGCGAAGGGTATGCAACTCACTTTTACGAAACTCCTCGGGCTTCTCCTGAACGATCCAATGGCCGCAGTCGATATCCACGATCTCAGAAGACGGAAAGAATGCTTTTATCAGCGGCAGTGCTGATTCAGGGATAAAGTTGCTCTGAAGAGCTCTCAGAAAGAGCACACGACAATTGAATTGCCTAATGGCTTCGCTCCCCTCATCTACACGATAAGGAAATTCGCCAAGAGGTCTTATGGCTGTGCTCAAGGTTTCGACGGGCACACGTAGTTGGAGGAAAGGTGTATCTGGCTTCTTGTGAAGATTGCTAATGAGCCAAGCCCGTATGGCAGGAGACTGTAGATTCCTTTTTAGCCCTACCTTCGAAAGCTGCAGAATCAATACCATCACAAAGCACGGCATCTAACCTTTTCATATCGAGTCAAGATCCTATCAGCTTGCGAATAGTCCGTGATCCGTTCGTCTCCCAATCTCGCCAATCCTTCCAGATACCGAGCAAAGTCTGACTCCAGTGGCAAGCGGATTGGGCAATTGTCGATCGCCACTACGTCCTTAACTAGGGTCGGAGATTCTAAAGATAGGGTTAATGCTGTTTTGGCGCCCCTGAGAACCCATGTGTTAGACACAATACTATACTATTCGGGAACGGGGAGCATTAAGTGAGTACAGTCGATGCATACATGGAGTGGCCAATAACAGTCGGCGATCGAAGCTGGTGTCTTTCGATGAAATATTTGACATCCAGTGCCATCTCCATATAGTCGTGTTTTGGATGATGACCGGATTCGCCATGGTTCCGCATATCCTGGCTGGAGGTTCAGTTTGTTACTTGAAGTACATCGCTATTCGGGTCACCCAGAGAAGGAAGGTACATACCAGAGCATACACAGGCCGGGAGAGATCTTTAGCGAGTAGTCTGTTGAGACTGTTAGGGCGAACATAGACAGAACAAAAGCAGAAATACTTCCCTGCTAACATGTCGATTTTCACGCTTTAAGCCTAGAAATCCATGCAGGAAGAGAATTGGCCTGGTTGGAGTAGCATTATGGCTTGTCGAAGCGTTGCTGGTAGGTGGTCGATGGAGTTCATAAGCTAATGGGATTCGTCGTGCCGCGGTATGTAAATGCCGGCAGAGATGTCTTGAGTGCAACATTGAGGGAAATATGGTCTTGACTGGTTAGCTTAGAGAGTAAGGAGTGTCGCTTGCATTGATTAAAGAATGTATTTAACGAATTTATCGCTAGGAATAGTTAGTTAACGAGTCCGTTACTGTCTCGTTCTTCCGGGAGAGATTTGCGGGTGTTCAGGGAAATTGACGCGCCGATCCCTTATACATACATGTAATATTACGTTGCTTCTGGTAACGCTATTGTTTCGGTAGCAGAATCCGAAGATCTCGGGCCCTCCGTCTTGTTACTGTTTGTAATCAGGACAAGCAAGTTGTATATTATTGCTGTGCTACACAGTATCACCCTTGTTCTTCTGGTTTTCATAAGCAGGGCAAGACCTGATTATGTCGGTACTGGCGTGGGCTTTTAATAGTCTGGGTCACTTCTCTATCGGAACCGAGTTATGTACTTCACGCCCTTTCGGTGACGACCCCCTTCGTTTTGAGACCCACACGCAAGCAACTCTTATAATGAAGGGCTCATGACTGAGCGCCCTCCAACTTTACGGGAATGCAGCATTTACATCGTTTCAATATCACTCTTATAATTTATATGCAAAATGCGTCGGTCGGCCCGGCAGGACTCTTCTCTGCTTACCGAAGAGCTTGAACTAAGATCTCATACTGGCTGGCATCTATGACACCGAGCAACCGGCAGATGGGCCCGGAGTCAGCCAGGCCTTCCCCGAAGGTGGTCGAGAGGCATGGATGTGCCTCTTGGGATCCTTTTTGCTGATGTTCCCGTCATTTGGATTTGAAGCAGCAGGTACGTCAACTATGTCATGACCTCATTTACATGAAGACCCAAGTTACTACGAACAGCTGACTTGAATACCTAGTTGGCACTGTCCAGGACTACATTAGCGAGCACCAGCTTGCCGAATACAGCATCCGCGATGTTGGCTGGATCACCGCAATTTTCGTGTTTCTGACTCTATTTCTTGGAGTCCAGGTCGGACCACTGTTCGATCGATACGGTCCTCGAGCCTTATTGACATGCGAAGGTTGAAGTGTGGTTTCAGGGCACAGAGGTCTTGGCATGATGCGGGCAGTGACCAAATGGTCCGGACCTGCCGCGTCAACTCACCAACATTCACTCGCTCATCTACTAGAATAGAATCATTCTGCTTAGTAGCCATGATTCCATCAGTATTAGCTGTTAGGAGAAATTCCGCAGCTCGCTTTCTTTCTAACAATATCGTATACCGCACACGATCCCCAACACTGTTTGTATTTGCCCCAGCATTAAGAATGTCTCTTTGGAGAGCGATATCATCATCACCATCATCAATGAAGTCCTCCGCGATGGGTTCCATTATTCCACCGAAAATCTCTCAGAATGCACAGAAGTTCCTGACTAGTGTCTTCGACATTATCCAGTCTGATCAAAAGGTGGAAGAGGAAGAGTTACCAGACTACAAAGCACACCGATTCTATCCCGTTCGACTGGGTGAAATATTCCATAACCGCTATCAAACAGTGGCAAAACTGGGCTTTGGCTCCTCATCAACTATATGGCTGTCCCGCGATTTGATGTATGTTCGAAAGACTCTAATGTTTTTTTTTACCATTAAACTGTCTTGCATAGAAACGGCCAATATGTCGCATTGAAAGTCTATGTGCATACTTCTTCGGTCCACCGCGAACTCCCATTCTATGATCACGCGAAGCAACAGCTACAAACAAGCTCACACCAGGGACGATACAACATTCGCAAGTTATTAGATTCCTTCACTGTTTCCAGTCCAGATGGGACACATATAGTCCTTATCTTCGAGGCCGCGCAGATGAGTCTGCGTGACATGAAGGTAGTGTTCCGACCGGATGGGTTTGATGAGAATCTGGTGAAAGGTGCCATTACCGAGCTTCTACAGGCGGTGGACTTTCTCCATATGCAAGGACAGGTTGTTCACACTGGTATATTCTTCTTTCCTTCGAGCAAGCAAGCTTTTAAAAGAGTGAACTACATAACCCCATAATAGATATACATCCTGGAAATCTGCTCCTTGGAGCCTATGATAACCAGTCGCTGAGTGCACTGGAACACGAAGAACTTGTTTCACTAGTACCTCGCAAGCCGGTCTCTCCCACTCGGACTATCTATCTATCACGCCTGATGCGTCCTCAAGTAGGTCCAATGTTGTTGTCTGACTTTGGTGAGACACGGATTGGCCCAGGGCCCCACGGCGGTGATATCATGCCGCTGGAGTATCGGGCACCTGAGACATTGCTCTATATAGGTTGGAGTTACCCTGTCGATATCTGGAGTGTAGGTCTTACGGTAGGTCACAGTTCCTCCTAGCCAGCATGGCACTTTGTGACAGCTTTGTGATAACTGAAATGGACTGCAGGCCTGGGATCTTCTAGAGTCGAGAAATCTTTTCACAGCACGAGATGAAGATGGTGATTTGTATGATGCTGCACATCTCGCACAAATAATCGCTGCACTAGGACCGCCTCCCCCCGAATTTCTAAGAAGGAACCAGAAAAGGAGAAGCGACTTTTGGGACTCCGATGGTAAGCAGTATCTACCAGCTGACATTGCAATTTACCGATTATTCTTGTCCCTTTTGCTCCCTGCTGATGTCTGCTGTATAGGAAAGTGGCTGGGCCTTGCGCCTATTCCGCTTGATCGAACAATGGAACGGTTAGAATCTCGACTCAGTGATAAGTCTGGCTTTCTACAGTTCCTGCGAAAGACTCTTACTTGGCTGCCCGAGGAAAGAGCAACAGCCAAGGAGCTTTTACAGGATCCTTGGTTGAGAGGCTGAGCTAGCTGACAACTACGACTATACTTTTGTTCTGCATAGCTGATGACTGAGTGGACTTCGCGATGAACTTCAAAGTATTGTTGTGTGACAAGACGGAGTCTAATGCGGTGTTCCTTTCACCATTATAAGAGATGCTCCAGGTTACACATGTTTTCAATACTTTGCAACCATACCAGTAGAGACAGCCAACTAGTATAATGGTATGGAACTGAGAATTGTGCAATTGTATCAACCAAACAGTGCATGACTACTGACATCCTTAGTTCTTAATTCGAATATGGAAACTTCCGTATCTCTAGTAGTCTTCCTGGTAACAGCAATATTAGCCCTTGATACGCCGTGCCTTTTCTGCCATAATCGTACTTTGGGTGGACTATATCTAATATCAGGAATTCCGAAAAGCTAAGCCGACCTAACTTAACCAGGTGCCCTTTGATTTCAACGTTAAGTGGCTAGAGCGGCCCGTCTGGTGAGAAATTAGCGTGGCCCTGGATCGGCGGAAGGTGGAGAGGCCTCCACCGTCAGCTCCCCATATATAGGAGTCTCTGTGCCGGAGTCATTTACTCCTCCTACACAACTTCATCCTCCTCTTCCAGAAACAATTAATTATTCTTATTCACACTCTCGACCACCTCTAGTGTCTACTAGTAAGTCAGGTATAGTCATCGAGTTCAATAGCACCGCGCCCCCTTCCTCCCTGTACGGCAGATTAACTCGGAACAAATCCAATTGATTAACATACCACAGCATGACAGACAACACATCACTGACGCGGAATTCTTTTATAGACAACAACATGACGCTAGAAAATCAAGACAATTCCAGACCTCGCTCGCGACCGATCAGCAGAACAAGACGGGTTTTCGAGACGATGGCCATTACATCAGTGACCTCCATGGTCGTCGGTACTTTAGAAGACGTCTTTCTTACATCGGTAGATCCTCGCTCATGGCTTCATTTGATATTATATATTTCTTGTTACACGATGTTTTCTTTCCTGTATGATAGGGTTAGGCCTATTTAAATGTATATATATATGAAGTGGCCGAGTGTCTCCAGTACTCATCAATGACACATGGCAGACAATCGCCTACGCATGATGCACATGAGTAATGGATGTATCCATATGTCCAAGCTCCCGATGAGGGGCTTTTGATTCCTGGTATTCTTTATCCCAGACGTTAAACATTGGTCTGGAGGAGCTGGTCAGATTGGGCTGACCCAACGTGATGTCTCGGATGTCTGGCCCCGATGTTACATTTGGATTGATCTGCCTTTTAGGGCGACGCTAATATCAACACCATCTCCACATGTCAGACCTCCATTCCCTCGTTCATTGGACTGTTGATTCACCGGTGCATTCCGAAATCCTTGATATAAGAAAAAATCGCGCAATATAGTGCGGTTTCGTGTCCCGTCAGAAGCATCACCCTGAATCGTGAATCCTGTATCAAACTATCTGCAGATACTCTCTGCCATTTCTAGCAGCGATGAAGATATCTCATGGAACTAAGTCTGCATACGCTATTCATTCGTTTCTTCTGCTGGTATGGTAGCGAAGAGATGTCTCTGTGCTCTTTAACCGAGGTATTCAACCAATGGGTTTGGCTTTCCGGACCTGCATGGTGCTTCTCCGGAGTATGGTTTCCTGCATTTTCATTATTTTTATTAAGGCGCCGGTGTTACGGTTGAAACAGTTCTTAAACTATCGTTTCCCGCTGAAGACATTGGCGTACCCATTGAGGTCAGTTCACCCCATCCCTACGGCCATCCTCAACTTCGTAACCTGGAAGCCAAGCGAATTAGTCATGACATGTATTACAGTACCTTGTCATTCAATGCTTTATCTTCCACCACACATGATGAGGAGCTGCGAGATTCTATTATTGCTGCTGCGGCGAGAATGAATTTTTCCTTGGTCATTCTCCCGCTGTCCATGAGAGATTTGTTCTCCTCGACCTGCTCTAGGTCATCGTCATACTTGTCCAATTCTCCCATCTTTCGCGATGCGAATGCCTACAGTTCTTCTGCACAGTTAAATCCCTTCTCTCACTTTGCCCAGCCATCGGTCCCAAAATGCTGTCGAAGCTTCGTAAAAGGAAAACTGCGGTGGTCGTTGAAGCCGGAGGAAAGGAGTATGTGGAGCCACATGGCTCCAGATTCTTGCGACCACTTGATGAGTCTAGAAAGCTCTTTCTCTTCGTAGCCTGGAGTTCTTTCCTCTTCTTCCTCTAAAAGCCGTATGAACTTGTCTAGGTACTTGAAGTACCTTGTAGCTATCTGGGGTGGCTCTTCGCCATTGTAGTCCCAGGCGCTATTAACTGGTCTATCCTGGAGAAGCCACCAGGGTGCCGAGCCAAACAGCTGCGCGGGTCCTATATAGGACCACTCGAGGTCTACTACTCCAACGACAGTGAGATCATCCTTACTGCGGACAATCAGATTGGCAAGACCGAGATCGTCACATATCAACTTGAATTTGCCATGGTCATATCTCGGATGGATTAAGTCTGGTAGTAAGGAACTCAGTGCCTTAAAGGCTACATACTTGTTCTGGGCATCGTATTGGCCACAGACTGAATTTGGTTGGTGAACAAGCTGTTCCCAGTCCTGACTGATAACGTACTGGAAATATTCTGTCGTTGTCGCAAACCCCTTGGTTCGGTCACCTTGGAATCATAGATTAGTCGAACTAGCATGAACTCACTGGATTTTATGTGTATATACCGAAAGTGTTCACTCCTCCATTCTGTAGGATGTTGTGTGCCTTGAATGTTAGCGGCCGTGACAGTGAATTAGAGCAATGGGCTCCAGTCAGTGCCGGCGGAGGCAGACTGCCGATTTGGTCAAAATCAACCTTGAAAAGCTGAAGCATGATCACCGCCATCTGTCTATAGATAATTTCAACATCATGGTCGCTGATGTCCTCCCTCATAAGTCGGCTGGGGCGCTCGGCATTATGATCCCGCAGGAGATCACTAAGACTCACACAGTTAATGAAATCCATTATAATAAACGGACCGAGACAAAGTGGGTTGCTGGCAGCGGGACCCCACGCGCGGACTCTCGGGACGGGGATGGCAGTCTGCTCGCGGATGAGGCCCAGGGCCGTCACCTCCATCGCCACTTTCTCATTGGTGTAGTCGTCGCAGATTTTCCCCACGCGAGGGAAACGAACCATCCAGGTAGTGTTGTCGCTGAAGACCATTTTCAGGCCGGCGTTGAATGCGCCATTGTGGAATGTACCCTCGAGGTTACAAGGAAGTTTGTCGGGATGGAATGTAGACACCCACGAACAGAGACGACCCAATCTGTGGGTCTCGTTCACCTTATCAACCCAGATCTGTCCCTGCACCTCATGGATAAGGTCGACAAGTGCGTTCGTGTCCATTACATGAGTGTAGGCTTCAGTTGATAAGTGAGAGATACAAGTTTGGTGAGGAAACCGATCGAGAGGCGCGAGGTGGACAAAAGTAAGGGGGACTTTGGTCCGTTTCGTGGTCGGGCAGCACGAGGTTCTGTGCCTCAGGCGTCTCCGAGGCAGCTTCTCCATCCAACGCATATACTAGTACTACTCAGCAAAGTGCTGCAATTAAAGTATACTTCAGTCAATCTTCAAGATGACCGATTGAGAAAAGGCACACTTGCTTCTTGAGACTGGCCTGGTCATAGATTCCAGAAGACCTAGGTTCTAGTCGATTACTAATTGCATCTACAACTGAATAGTTAGAGATAGAATCATATAGCTCAATATAGCTTACTCCATAGTATATTGCTGAGCGCTTCTCCAAGGGAGCATTTAACCCGAAAGTAGAGAGAGTAACATTTGGATCGAAGCATTGTTGTATGTGCAATTGCAGGCAGTTTTGAGCAGGACAGATCACATTAAGAATGGACCATTGCTTACTTGCTTCCCCACACCAGGATGACCATAACAAGCCCCGCAGGTGAAAGACAGGGTCCAAGCGTCAAGCACAACATAATTAAGGTGCACCAGATGGCATTCGGTCATCTTCACCTGTTGCTATGCTTTGCCACTACAAGCATACGTGACCCTAGTGTTGGAGCTCATGGTCGGAGTACTTAGCACGAGGATAAAGCATCAAGGTAAAATATCTGCATAGTCAAGAAATGGGAGGTGAGCAACTTAGTACTAATACTCTATGTCTAATTCGATTCTATTTGTACCAGAACTAGTAGTAGTAAATCGCAATGTCCTTCAAACCATGAAAGCTCACGGGTTGTCGATATGATGATGTTGTGTGGATTCAGCACATCAATTTAGCCCTCCTGGTGGCTTGTATATATAATACGAGCAAGGTTGAACAATAACTCGGACTTAAGACTGGCAATTGAAAATGTACCTTGCCTTGCCGACAAACACGCCCTCGGGCTATTGATATAATTATGTCCGAGTGATGCTCAACTATGGTTCCTTAAAGGCGAACAGCCCAAGCCACCTTCTAAACCCTTACCCGACCCAAGCTTCCCATAGTCCACCGTTCGGTAATCCGAAGCTGGCTCACCTCAGAACTCTCGGCGTAGGTTGCTTATTCCAGAGGATATATCCGACAAACCCGACCGGCAGGATAATATCCGACAGATACTCCGAGGAACGGAATGGAAAATTTTAGAATAAGATTTATTTTAAGATACAATTATATGATGGTTTAAGGTCTTACATTTCTCACTCACCACCTTATCTCTGTAGAATAAAATACGGAATAAATGATATTAGTGCTTATAAACGGTTCATCTTATTACAGCTTTCCAGAGAACAGACAAGACAGGAGTCTAGTACTACGTAACTCCTCGCTTCTAGGCAACCGCATTCGGTAAGGCTGATTTGATTGATTTGACTTGCAAACCAGATCCACAATCTGCCGAACACCAAGCCTTTTTCACTTCCCGGTTGCCACTGCCATTGCCAGTCGGAATTGCTATCGGAGATGCTTTCTCGATAACAACTCTGCCTCACATGCGCTGCTGCTGTCTTACCCCCGAGCTTTCTTACCCATTTGTCTAGATACTTCATCACTATTGGCTGCCCATCCCACTCTCTCTCACACACACACCCCCCTCGCAGCAAGTAGCAGCATTCCTTAACAGCATCTTAACCGCCGTGTGTGTGACTCGTCATCCACCCTACCACTCAACTCACTGGGCTAACTAACCCAAAAACCCACCGCTAGTCGCTGTCTCTGTTGGCTGACGCGGCCCCTTACTGCGGGACTCTCTATATTATCGCCTCCTATCTATCTACCTATCTACGTAGTTTATCCTGATTCAGCCCCATCACCGGTGCCTAATATTATCTTTGCGATGGAGCCATGAGTATTAAATCTGCCCGCACCCCCTGATAAGATAAAAATTGTTTTTTTTTTTCTGCTTCTTGGCTCCGGTTCCGCTTTTCATCTACACCAACACCAAACACCTACCTCTGTATACAGCATGGGTGTTAAACCCCTCCTGCTATCGTCCCTTTTATGGGCCGCTAGCACCACCACCGCCACAGCAGCATCACCATCAACAACACAAAATGCCAACCACATCTTCAACTCCATCCACTCCTCCATGCGACAATGGGGCTCCTCCCTCCAACACAACGGCATGTCATTATTCCTTGCCAGCGTTCCCGCCGGCACGCAGTTCTACCACGGTACCTCGATCCCCGACCCTATCAACGGCACGGAGTGGCTTGCCTTCGAGCCGGAACATGCGATGGTGTTCGCGAGGGCGCATATGGGACCCCATCCGGGTGAAGACGATGATGATAAGAAGAGGAAGGAGTTGAGGAAGCGCGATGAAGAAACGGAAGAAGAGAAAAGTTCTGGCTGGTTACATACCTATGTCGCTGCTAAGGATCTGCGACTACTTTACGCCGATGGCATGTCAGCTGGAAAGACACACAACGGGACGCTTGATTTCGAGGATCGGGTCCTGTTCCGGGATGAAGTAGGCGAAAAAGAGATGATGGGGGACCGCGAACGTGCGAACATGTTCTGTCGCATGGCGAAAGAGGAATGGGATGACCGGGTGGATGGGATGTTGCGCATGGAGGCTGGGTTTGAGATCATTCTGTGTGATTTTGCTAGGGATCTGAAGGAAGTCAGGGTGACGCGGACGAAACCGAGTTACCCGTTTGGGGGACCCGGCGGTGGTGGAAAGGATGACAAGAAGAAGAAGGGGGGCCCTGTAAGTAAAGGAGATGGAGCATTGTGGTTCAAGGCGATTGCTGCGCGGTATGATGGGATTGGAGGTAACCGGGTGACGCTAAACTATGACAACTTCGTGTCGGCGTATACGTATGGACTGGACCTGTTCCATTCGGTCAATGAGACGTTCACGTTGCCCCGGTTGACGCAGTTTACGTCCCAGCAGCTGATCCCTATCAGAGAAGCGCTGAATGAGCTGGTTATGCAACATGAGGCCAAGGAGGCTACACTCAACTGGCAGACTGTCACGGATATGGTGGTGGAGCGGTACGCGCATGACATCCGCTACTTTGCATCGGGCCAGCTGTCGACGGTGGAGGAGATCCACGCGAAGATTGAGAAGGTGCTGGGTCCGTTTGTTGACTACGAGGATCGCGATGGGGAAGAAGAGGCCGAGCGCTGCTCCATGCAGTTCATTCCGGGCGGGGCGTTCAGTGGTGATGGCGATGCTGGGGTGGCGGCGACGGCTGTGCATGCAGTCACTCGTAGGATATGTGAGACGATGGTCCAGGGCTGGCAGGAGACGGACTACAGCACGCTGATTGGGCTTTTTCAGGATCTGATGGAGTACCTGGCCTGGACAACGTGGAAGCAATGCAGCGGATGCGCCGACCACGAGATCTGCGTGGTGCCCATCTGGCCGATGGGAACTGTAGAAGACTACAATCATCCGCAGTGTCGCGATGCAACGAAGCCCGAAAGCGAAGGTCAGAGCTATTGGGGTGGCCGGCCTGGTGGCCCTGGAGGTCATCATCCTCCGCCTTCGGATTCTTCGTCGTCGGCCGGATGGATTCCGAGCTTAGTCTCGTTCCTGCGATCATTCCTGGGAGTCGCTCTGGGATTGCATTTCTGATGTGGGACAAAGAGGGATAAGGATTTTCCACGCTTATTAACTTTTTATTTTCGCTTACCTTCATCTAATTTGAACTTGATTTGACATCTTACATATGAACTTGAATTTCGGGCAGAGGAAACTCCGCTCAGGGGTGCCCTGCAAAACCAACATTTGCCTTAGCAAATAGAAACTGCGTGTAAGAAGAAAAAGAAGCGGAACAGAAAAAGGGTCAAAAAAAGCAACGATGACCTACCGAACCTGGTTTTCGGAGGATCGGAAATTGACAATTAAGCTGCCCGAAGAACAGTAGAACGGAAGTGAATTCGTTGCTCGTGCGCGGTTGAAGCTGCTCGAGGCGCCACTTCGATAGTTTGCTGCACGCTTGCATCAAGCGCCTTGTCGATCCCTTCGGTCCAGACACAAACACTTTTGCCTGTCACTCTCGCCCTCTTGGCCACGTCCTGAATTTTTAGTACTTTGGGTTGTTAATCACAATTTGTACTTTGAGTATGGCGACTGCTCTATGGTCGGGTTTCAGCTGCGGCGTCCACTATACAGCCACAATGAAGGTAGTCTTATCAGCTGAAGGCGAAAAGACCGGGTTAGCCATGTCTTGCAGGCCAAGATAGGGTATGTTCACAATAGTAGTGTAGAATAGGCATCAACCCAACATCAACACCACCAACCGAGGTAATAATGCACAATGCTTCACTCTTCACACCCCCCCTTCTCCCATTTTGGTAACAGTTGCCTTATGCCTCTCCCCCTCCCCTGAAACTTGTTTGCTACAGCGATGCTAAACAACATAGTTTCTTGATGGTGCTCCTGCCACCGGCACTTACGGATGCAGCCCGATTGCATTGCGTGCACGACACGACTCGAGTCTAGCCTATTCAGCCAGGTCGATCCAAAAATTAGGGTCCCACTATCAACTCGATGGGTCTGGCAGCCCAGTGGATCCCCATTCCTTGACATTCACGGATCACGTACAAGTGCCGTCCACACTTGTCGATCCTCCGGATCATACACTGTCAGGTACCACTGAGCTTGCAGCCGGTGAGCCACCAAAGACAATAATCTTGGATAATGCGAGCTTGGCACAAGGAACACGGGGGGGGGGGGGGGGGCTTAATGGTCTAATCTGTAATCTCAGTTCGTGGGGAATGCGAGCGAAAAGGAGAAATCGCCTCACGTTGAGCCGTGAGTGTAGATACTCATCACTCGCATATAAATATGCCCTACTGCTGCTCTCTCCATCCCTCTCTTTTCTCGCAGGTCAAGCAAGTCTCTCTTTAATCTTAATCCTAATCCCTCCGCCTTCTCCCTTCACTCTTTCCTCTTTTGCTTCCCTCGCTTCACGACCACCGCTCCTTTTGTTGTCGTTTAGTTCCATTCCCTCGCTCGTGTTTCAATATGAAGGCTTCGATCCTAACGGCCCTCACTTTGGCCGCCTGCTCCTTCGCGAGCCCCGTCGGCCAGCTTCATGCTCGCGACGGCGAATGTACCTGCCAGCCTAATGGCGGTTCAAGCTCTGGCTCTGGCTCTGGCTCTGGACCTTACCCCGGCTCTGGCTCTGGCTCTTCCCCCGGTGCTGGCTCCTATCCTGGCTCGGGATCGGGATCTGGCTCAGGTCCTACTCCTGGCTCTGGCTCTGGCTCCTACCCTGGCTCTGGCTCTGGAGCTGCTCCCAGCACTGGCTCCGGTTCCTACCCTGGCTCGGGATCCGGCTCTGCTCCTGGATCTGGGTCTTACCCCGGCTCCGGTTCTGGTTCTTACCCCGGCTCAGGCGCTGCTCCTGGAACTGGCTCCGGCTCTGCGCCCGGCACCGGTTCTGGCTCCTATCCCGGTTCAGGCTCAGGCTCTTACCCTGGCTCTGGCTCTGGCTCTGGCTCGGGACCTCAACCCTCCGAGGTGTCGACCTACCCTGCCTCCCAGGTTCCAACGCTGCCTGGCTACCAGCCCCAGCCTACGATTACACTGACAACGACCGTTCCCGTCACTGCCTCCCCCGGCTCTCCGGAGTGCACTACAACTGCCCCTGCTGGTCCCGCTGGTCAGCCGACTGGCCAACCCGCTGGCCCCGGTGCTCCTACCGGCCCTGCCGGCCAATCCCCTAGCCCTGCCGCTCCCGCTGGTCCTACCGGTCCTGCTGGACAGCCTGCTGGACCTTCTACACCTGCTGCTCAACCCTCTGGCCCCGCCGGCCCTAGTGGTCCTGCTGGTCCTTCTGGCCCCTCAGGACCGGCCAACTCTGGCTACCCTGGCAGCTCTAGCCCGTCATCTCCTTGGGGTACTCCCAGCTCTTCGGTCCCCGCTGGATCTCCCTCGCAGACCCCCGGCTGTGAAAACGGCCACTGCCATGGTACCGGCCACCTCCTCCAGGATCTGGGCGTTCAGGCTGATCACCTTCTGACCGTTGTTGGTGATGGCACCGAACAACTGCTTGTCCAGCTCAGCCAGCCCGTTGCGGACCTTCTTTCCAGCTTGGGTCTGACCGGCCTTGCTAAGCCTGTGGGCAAGATCATCAAGGACGCCGGCAGCATTGGCGAGCTGGTTAAGGATCTGGGTGCTCCCGTCGAGCAGCTTCTGGTCGTCACCGGCAAGGACACTGGCTACCTCTTGATTCAACTGGACCAGGACGTTAAGGGCCTCTTCGACAGCATTGGCCTGAACGCATTGGGCGAGCCCGTTGGTGACCTGCTGGGTGCTGTTGGCAGCAGCCTGAAGCGTCGTCAGAACTGGGACTACAACCCTTACGCCAAAAACCCCAACGGGCTCGTTGAGAAGCTGGCACCGGTGATTGACTGCATCTTGGTGGTTACGGGCGAGGACGCCAAGGACCTTATCATCAAGCTCAGCAAGCCCGTGGCCGAGGTGTTTAAGGCACTGGGATTGACTGGCCTTGGCGACAGCGTAGGCAAGGTCGTCTCGACGGTCGGCAAAGATGCGGGTGACTTGGTTTCGGATTTGGGTCAGCCCACCGAAAAGTTGCTCACTGTGGTTGGCGATGGTGGCAGCAAGCTGGTGATCCAGTTGGCTCCTGACGTTGCAGACTTGGTTGGGGACTTGGGACTCCCCAAGGTTGGTGAGGCAGTGGGTGAGGTCCTTGGAGCAGTGGGTAACAACGTGTAAGAAGTCTCGACTATTCTTTCTTTTTTTTTTTTTTTTCCTTGGTCCTATAAACGGGTGATGGAATTGCATTGCATTGCATTTATTTGGATGCGATGGTGTTGAGGCTACTTACTAGTACCATATACTATACAAGATGTAATTAGTGTAATTGATAATGATACCTAATCAAGAATATTTTCAGTTGACTTCAATACTACTACTACTACTACTATCCAATATTACCTCCCCCATTACTATCCATCCACACATCATAGTACATTCCCCAATATTCTCTTATCCCCCATCCATTCATCCGCCGATTCAACTCCGAGGCAACCCTACTTTTCCCCTCTCTCCAAAAGCGTACGTAAGCCGCATTCCACAGCCTCTCATTGCCTTTGCCTTGCCCCGGATGTAAATTGATTCGCCCCACGGGGTTTGACTGCCGATGTGGAGAAGCGAGCCGCCAGACTTGGCAAAGGCAAACCGGCATCCAACTGGAGAGTACTTGACACAATGTGTGAGTGGTGTGTGAGAGGGAGACTTTCCGGGGGGAAAGCACAGAGTTTCGCCTCCCGCTTCGTTCCCTCCAGCAATGAAATCATGGATGATTGTGGGACGTGGGGAGGCCATTCCCCCCCGCGGGTAAGATTATTCCCGCCGTGCCATTTCCGATTGCCGGTCAGAGTTCTCTATTTAATCCTCCAGTTCTCTCTACTTTTTCTTGCTCTGTTCAGCTTCAAAGTTCTTTCATTTTGTTTCTCATAGACACCTCTCCTCTCTGATTCTCCTTTCTTTACATACCATACTATCATCATGGCGCAAACTCCGCAAGACCTTAAGATTGCCATTCTGGGTGCAGGTATGTACATCCTTTTTTTCTGCCGCCCTATAATAGGGTTTAGTATAGGAAGTATGACGAGATACTAACAGGAGTGTTGTTGTATAGGCATGGGCGGTCTGACCTGCGCCTTGGCTCTGGCTAAGGAAGGCTTCAAGAACATCGACGTTTATGAGAATGCACACGATCTGGGCTTCGTTGGAGCTGGTATCCAACTGGCCCCGAACATGGCCCGCGTGCTGGATCGCCTGGGTGTCTGGAAGCCCATTGAGGCCGAGGCTGTTAACATTACTTCCACTAGCGTTAGAGGTATGTGTTGCATTTCCCCCTAGGATGAAAGATCGACAGTCCTTTCTATGTGAAACCTTGAGCTCAACGCTAATTCAACCGAACAGTCGGTGCCTCGGACTCGGAGTTGGCCCACGTCCCACTGGAATACATCCACGACACCTACGGATATCCCCACATGGTTGGCCACCGGTCTTCCCTCGCCGGCCACCTGTACCAAGGTTGCCTGCAGCACCCGGACCAGATCCGCTTCCACTTTGCCACTACCGCCAGCGACACCACTTTCGGTCCTAAGTCCTCCTTCACCGCTACCCCCCGCGACCACCCCGAGCAGGCCTACCGCGTTGAGGCCGATGTCCTCCTCGCCTGTGATGGCATCAAGTCCCAGTCCCGCGTGGCCATGCTCGACCTCCTCGGCATCAAGGCCGGCGTCAAGGACACCCACCAGGCCGCCTACCGTATCATGATCCACAAGGACCAGATCAAGGACGACCCCGAGCTCCTGGAGCTCATGAACGGCAACCGCGTGACTCGCTGGATCGGCGAGAAGCGTCATATTATTGCCTACCCCGTCTCTAACAACACCATCTACAACCTCTCCACCACCCAACCTGACACCCACTTCGCCGCCGCCACCAATGCCACCTATACCACCCGCGGTGACAAGTCCGTCATGCTGGGTGTCTTCGGCGACTTCTGCCCCATGGTCCAGCGTATGCTGAACTACGTCCCCGAGGGTGAAGTCTGCGAGTGGAAGCTGCGTGTCCACGAGCCCCTCCCCACCTGGGTGCACGAGACCGTCGCCCTTGTCGGCGATGCCTGCCACCCTACCCTGCCCCATCTCGCACAGGGTGCCGCCCAGGCCATCGAGGACGGTGGTGTCATCGGTGCTGTCCTCTCCAAGCTCCCCGATACTACCCCGGCTTCCATCCACAAGGCCCTCAAGGTCTACGAGAAGGTGCGCAAGGACCGTGCTTACGCTATCGTCGAGCTGGCTGCCGCTTCCGGCCGTGCTCTCCACCTGGGTGACGGTGCCGCCAAGGAGGAGCGTGATCGCCAGTTCGCTGCTCTCCGCCAGGGTAAGGGCCCTGTGCCCGACAAGTGGGCGGATGCCGATGTGCAGAAGGAGCTGTATGGTGTTGATGCGACTAAGATCGCGCTGGAGCAGTTCGACGAGCTCTTTGCTTCTGTGTAAGCTTTGGCCTTATACCTTTTCCTTATTTCTTTTCTGTTTTCTTATCGCCTTCACGATTGAACCCGATGTATATTGTATATAGAGCTGATTGGTTGTATTGATGATTGAAGGTCGGGTCGTGAGGCGAAGCTGGCTTGATCGATTATTTGGAGGAATTGATTGGTTGGCCGGAATTAGTGTTCTTTTATCTAGCATTGCAGCCCCTTGCATATACAATGATGATGTTATGATTTGATTGTTACACTATTTTTTTCTTTGTTCGTAGTATACTATCCCTGTTCATGCATGTATCCATTGGATGAATGTATACACCCGTAGTTGTACAAAGACGGAAGTGGCTGGCTGCAGAATTAGTCTGGTTTGTTTGTTAGTCATGGCCTGGGTTTACCCCGGATTTTCAGCCCCTCCTTTTGGTTTGTTTTTCAAACCAAAATCAGAACAAACCCGAGGGGTTGGACCCCTTGGTCCTTGCACTCCGGCCAGGCAACAATAATGATTCAGATTTACCCCTCGAGTTCGTGTGGGAGCTACGATAATGCCACCGCTGCATTGTACCCACGAGTCAATATCTGGGGTTTACATTCCTCCCCTTCTCCACCACTGTGGGGATGCTTATTTCGAAAGAATTCTATGTCAGTGAGCAACTGGGCATAAGTAGTTAGGAGATTCATTATGCAAAGAAATTAGAGCGTAAACTTTGGTACCTGACAATGTCTGAATCGGGGTTTGGACCAAACCCGCGGGATTAGCTAGGATCCATTTCTGCCTTGATTGATAGGTCCAAAGATTAGGTACCGGACAAAAGGGTCTCGACCCAAATTTTAAGGAGGAAAAATTCTACACTAGTGACGTTATCGCATATTAGTGGTTTTACTTAGATCAAGATATATCTGCGGAACAAAGTCTGTTGTAATGAATTCAATGTAGTTGTGGCATAGCAAGCTTGTGTACAAACCTCGGCGGCAGAAGTATCCTGGGCAATAAACTATGGTTAAACTTCTTATCAGATGTTGCTGACAGTGGCAAATCGAAGAATCCAGAACAATTCGAATTGAAAATAACAGCAAATCATTGCTCGGGGAGACTTCCGGCTTGGCGCGCCGAGCTGAATCAGCCAGTGACGGAATGGCTATTGCCGCATCGGGCAACTAGCAGGGCTCCTAGTTGCCTTCCTTCTTCCTGCGACGCTTCTTTTTCTGATTCTTTTCCCTCTCTTCTTCTGTCTGCTCGTCCCCTGCTCGTTATCCCTCTCCAACCAGCTCAGTTGGATATGCAGGGTTCTTCTGATGCCAGCAGCGCGTCTGACGACCTCTCACCATCCCAGCCTACTCTCGATTCCGCCCCGTCCGCCAACCGTAACTTGAAGATTGCCATCCCTCGGCTGGCGCCGCCTTCCGTCAAGGCTAACCAGCAACGGACGCCACGCGCCTGTGTCGCCTGTCGCTCCAGAAAGACCAAGTGTGATGGTCGTAAACCCGTTTGTCGCCAATGTCGTCGTCTGGATCTCGTCTGCAATTATGCCGGCTCTAAGCGCGAGCGACAACAATTGGAGCTCGAATCCGTTCGCAACAAGGTCGTCGCCTACGAATCGCTTCTGAGCGACATCATTACCGACACACAGCGGACGGGGGCTTCTTCCATTGAGGACATTCTTAATGTGCGTAGTGCCTGCGATGTTGCCACTTCGCCTCTCCAGAATACTCAAAGCATTGCCATACTGACCGGTTGCCAACTCCCCGCAGAGACACTTCCAAGCATCTCCAGATGTCTTTGCGGCGCTGCTAGCTGCCAGATCCATATCGGATCCTCAACTCTCACCGCGGCCAAAACCGGGGATTTCTTTAAACCGCATGCACATAACATTGGCCACTAAACCAAACAGCACATCTCATCCTCTCGCTGAGACCCCTCTAGTACAGCTCAGCAACATCCAATCCTGGACCGACCTTGTCGATAACACCACAGCCAGCCACCTTCTCAGCCTCTTCTTTGCTTGGGAGAACCCAACATGGCGTCTAGTCGACCAGGAGATGTTCATCCGCGACCTGGAGAGCGGGAGTAAGCGGTTTTGCTCGTCGCTACTCGTCCACACGCTCTTATTTTTCGGCTGTGTAAACGCCACTGCAGTCTGATGTCGAGTACTGAACGTCAACCACTAACGTTTCTTGATAGAGCTCTTCCTACCACTTGGGGCGCATCACTGATCGGCGGGAGGAGAAGGCTCTGGGCAAGAAGTTGTACTCTGCCCTGCAGCATCTGTGGCAGTCAGAAAAGGATGATGCTGGCCTTCCCACGGCCCAGTCCAGCATCATGATCGGCCTGCTCTGTTGCACCTTTGGCATTGACCGCTTGGGGACCCGCTACATCATGCATGGCGCCCAGCTCAGTCGGCAGCTGGGCCTTCACCGCGAGTCGGCCCCTTACTTTGCTACTGATGTGGAGGCCGAGGTCGACTCGTTATCCCGGTGTCATAAGTTCGTTGCTTGTGGCATTTTCGATGTGCAGGCGTAAGTGGCGACCCTCCATGTACGCTCGGACCCTGACTGATGAGACACAACAGACTCGCGGCACAAGTTTATCGAAAGACACCGGTTTGGGATGAACCGCCTGCTGCGAGCTTCTCGCAAGAAGAGGCTGCGGTTTTGGATGGAGGCGAAGAATGGAGGCCCTACCCTTTTCAAACCCCGGTTTTCCGACCCTTTAATCACACGGCCCTGTGCTTCCGCAACAAACTGGTCGCAATTGTCAA